ATTTCCCTGCCATAACCAGCACATCTCCATGCTCCTGAAACAGCATCTTTGAAGCACCTTTGCCAGATGTCTGCGACATCAATGTGAGAATACCACCACGTCCAAATGAGAAGCTTGTGATGGGGCCTCCATCCGACGAGAATGTCTCACAGTAATCACTATGTGGTGCGATGCCATGATCCCGATTGTGCTCGTTTCTGTTCCACAGTACCTGCCACCTTTTCTCAAACCAAACAGGAAGAATATCGTGGCCGCCAAAAGATCCATAATTTTCCCGCAGAACTGCATCAAAACGCTGTTTGAACTCATCCCCACTCGTCCACAAAGAAGAACAGGTCGGATTGTGGAAGTTTCCCACTTCCTAATGTCATAGTTTTTGATCTCAGACAATTGCGCAGGAATCAAATCCGCAATGGCACTGAAAGAACGCGGAGCTTTGCACGCCCCCTTGGCAAACAACAGAAAAGAATTCGTGCTGGATCGTGGTAAACGATCCGCATAATTTTCCACCCGCGCATCCATTCCAAGCAGCAGCTGAGCAAATTTCACAGTGTCTTCCCAGCTTGGGACAGCTGCAGGCCACGAATGTTTCGGCAACTAAGCGGTTTCTGGACGCAGAACTTCCCGACATCACAGCAGCCATGCGTGTGAGCTGCCCAGTGGGCGCAGTGGGCGAGCTCACAAGCATGGCGGCTGTGATGTCGGGAAGTTCTGTGTCCAGAAACCGCTTAGTTTCATGACAGATGTGGTGGGGATCAAAGCCTACAAGCACTGCACCCATGCTCACCAGTCATCACATAGGAGCAGGATTACCAGTCATCACAACAGCTAGTTTATCTTCCACCACAAGCATTGCTTCCGCCAAGTGTGGCCATACATGCAAGTGCTCCACAGGATCCAACTGTTGCAATAGCATGAAACATCCAACTGCACGGCAAGTAGCCCCCGAATGCAACTAAAAGGACCTGGTTCTTTGCATGCTCCCTTGGAAATTGTTGTTTGCCAAGGGGGTATGCAAAGAACCAGGTCCTTTTAGTTGCTGTTGTGTGGCGACAGTAGCTGCACAAATTTCACCGTGTCAGCCCAACTGGTCACTCCAGTAGGCCACGAACTTTTCACCATAGCTGCAAAACACCGGTGACTCCAAAACACTGCTATTGCCTCAAATGATTGAATATAACCAAACTTCAGTGGATCTACACCAGCTACATAAATATATATTATCAATGTTTTGATCAATAACATCAGTATACAATGGTTTCTGCATGTTTTGATGCGCAAAGAGCCTGTAGCATGGCCGCAACTTTGCCACGGCAGAGAACCTGCCACAGAAGAAACATGCAAGCAATGCATATGCGCTACAGGCATCAACAGTGCCCAGCCTCCAGCAAGCATCAATGGCACAACCGATGTAAGAAAATGTATCTAGGAAGCACTGTCATGCATCCGCTGTCATACCAATTCTGTCATGTACAAGCTAAGCAAGCTGTTACTAACCCATACGGACTTCTAACATCAACCTCATGCATGCCTGCTGAAACACATGTCAGTTAGAAGTGTTGTCATGCAACTGCTGTCATGCAAGTGCTGCAATTCAAAACCTGCGCAAGCTGTTGCTAACCAATACAAACTGCTAACATAAACATGATGCATGGCTGCTCAAACACATCATCAGTTCCACAAGACAACTTGCTTTGGCTTGAGCTTGCTTGACCCAGAACCCAGCAAAGCGAGTGATCCACTAAAATTCTACTCGACATGGTCTTGTATTCTATCTGGGTTATCTTCTGCCATTCTTTGTCCCTATGTTCTAGTCGCGTTTGTCTGGCAAATCTTCTTTCTGGCATTCTATCCTGCATATCTTCTGGCCCACTTTCTGCCAATCTATGTGGCATATCTTCTGGCATCGATCTGGCATATGTTCTGGCACTCTAACTGGCATATTTTCTGGCATATGTTCTGGCATATCTTCTGGCATTCTATCTGGCATATGTTCTGGCATATCTTCTGGCATTTTATCTGGCATTCTATCTGGCATATCTTCTGGCATTCTATCTGGTTCTGGCACTTTATCTGGCATACCTTCTGGCATATCTTCTGGCATTCTATCTGGCATATCTTCTGGCATTTTATCTGGCAGATCTTCTGGCATTCTATCTGACATGCTATCTGGCGTTCTATCTGGCATATCTTCTGGCATTCTCTCTGGCCGTTGCGGTCCAGCGGCGCTCACTGAGCTCGGAAGGTCCCAGGTTGAGGTCCAGCGGTGCTCACTGAGCTCGGCGGGTCCCAGGTTGAGGTCCAGCGGTGCTCACTGAGCTCGGCGGGTCCCAGGTTGAGGTCCAGCGGTGCTCACTGAGCTCGGAAGGTCCCAGGTTGAGGTCCAGCGGTGCTGTCTCAACTCGGCAGGTCCCAGGGTAGGTCCAGCGGTGCCCACTGCGCGCTCAGACCCTTGCAGTTGAGGTCCAGCAGTGCCCACTGCGTGCGGAAGTTGGCGAAGAGCTTGGCGAAGAGTTGGCAAGGCGGAAGTAAGTGGACATGGAAGTCGCAGAAGTGGACCTGGAAGTGGATGCAGAGGTGGTGGAGGAGGAGAAGGAGGAGAAGGAGAAGGAGAAGAAGGAGAACAACTCTGATAAAATCTAACAACCCTCACTTGGCAGGTGCGGAAAAAGAGATTGTTGGTAGATTTTTTCCTTGTTTTGATGAAGGATAGATGCCTTGCATTTATTGTTTTGACACAACAACTGAAGTACGGAAAACATGAGGACTAACTAATTATCGGATTTCGTCATGAACAAAGTTCATGAGAGTTGTATTACAGCGCAATGCAGCAAACAATTGCAGCGCAATGCAGGAAACAAAGAAACTAACAACAAAATCTCATAGGGCCGGACCTTGTCAGTTCAAAGACGAATCATCTAATGATGCTTCGCAGTGATCTGTTTCCGAGCGTCCAAAAAGGAGACCGCAATGCTGTTTCTGACAACGGATTTCGCGGAGCGGTGACCCACAAAAGTTGGTTGTTGTGCAGCCTGAGCAGAGTTTTTTTACATGCCGATTGGCAGTTTGGCCCACAGCCTCGCTCAAGCCGCCAACTTGGCTACCACAACTTGCCGCGGACGAAGACTTCCCCCGCCTTGCCTGATTCCGCGAGGATGGTGATGGCGAAGAAGAAAAAGAAGAGCCGCTTGGCGATTTTGATGCCGTCTTGGCTTTCGCTCTTTTTCAGCTTCTTCGACGTGGCAGTCAGCCAGCCTTCTTCTTGCGACAGTCCTGGAGGATGTGTGGCAGGAGTTGGAAGCACAATTGTCCAACAGTCCAACATGTTGGCTCCAAAACCACACCTTTTGCAATGATGAGTATAACAAGTCATGGCAACTGCGCAACATCAGACCTTGTTACTGGTACTGTATCATTATAGGGCTAGAAAACGATGCTAGTGATCAGAAGGAACGTATTACTGTGACAGGTTGTGTGACTCGGGGCAAATTCAAAACCCCAAGAGCCCAAGATCCAATTGTTTGATGGATATGAAAATTACCTGCATTTGCAGCATGCGGCGGAAATTGCATCAGCACCTCAGGGTTGATCAATGGCTGTGCAGGAGAGCAGGATGCGCTCTTGCTGCAGTTGCAGCAAACAACCAGCACCACGACCGAAAGCACGAGCACCACGAGCCAGGCAGAGGAGACCACCAGCACCACCACAATCTTTTTGCCTGGACCTCTTCTTCCAGCTCTTCCTCCTGATCCTTGTGACGAGTACAACATTCAGCCTGAAAGGATCAGATGCAGGACTATTGACTGGCTCTTGAACAAGGAGAAGTTCGGTAATGGCAGGTGTGAGTGTCCGGAATGCGAAGATGAAGAGATCCAGTCTTTTGTGTACAATTGCACGGCTTGCCAATGCCCAATCCCAAACCGAACCCAGTGCAACCAGCCGGTTCTACCCTGCCCTGGTAGCCTGCCCAGCGGCGTTTCAACTTTGGATCCACAGTGTGAAGCCGTGACTTGGTGAGGAAAGCATGACTGAACCCTGAAGGAGTCAGTATTTGATTCTGCAGGTCTACGGTGAGATTGGAAATAAACATGAAAAAACATGATACATTGTTCGTACTTGTAGGATATGATATGATCCATGACATTCTGACTCTGGCACCAGGGCAGAGCTCCGCTTCAAAATTTTCCTGGATTTGTGTCACTTGGCAGGCGATCGACAGGATTCCTTCATGGTCTAGCGTAAAGGACGGTTCGGACGAGTTGAGACCTTGCTCGTCGGGTCTTGGATGGAGCGTGCCCTCACAAAAGTTCGGAGATGGAAACTGCAACTTGGATAGATTCAGGAGGGTATGCGCTGTTTGTCACGGAATACTTACACTGTAACTGTGAATTGCCAAAGGAAGTTTGGAAGCTGCACTTCCGCGTTACGGAGTTTTGCACCGAACACCAATGAACAAGCACCGCCAAAAACACAGTTACTGCCAAACTAATTACTGTCTTCGAGTGATCCCGTGATGCCCACCTTGAGACTATTCTGACATAGTTTCTGACATATACATACATATACAACCCGGAAGAAAATATTGGATGCATTGTGAAAAAATGTATACACACATCCTGGCCGCTATGCGGGTATCACTTTTCCATCCACAGACAAAGACGAATTCCGAAGACGAATTCCGAAGACGCATTCCGCGAAGAGGATGCCCACCCCGAAAGACGAATTGCATCCCGAAGACGAATTCTATACACCCTGAAGACGAATTCCGAAGACGCATTTCGCAAAGACGGATCATGAAGCAGGTTCTTGGACGAGACCAACAAGCGTCGTTCAGGGTCAACACGTTCAGGATGAGCAACATGGTTGATGTGGCGCCTACACAGGTGACTATGCAGTCCTACTTGCAGTTGCTCATCGCCGAGGCAGGCCACTTGCACCTCAGTACAGCGGCAAGAACATCGACGACGTCAACACCAGAAGCCAACCCAAAGTTGAAGGCTATGGGCAACGTCGAGAAAGGCAATAAGGGTAACGGAAAGACTGGAGGTTCACCGCAAGGACAACAAGGAAGTCCAGTCACTCCGACAAAGCCGTGCAGAAACTGGGGAACAGATGCAGGTTGCAAGTTGGGAAGGACGTGCAAATTTGTGCACGACTGGGACAAGCTTCCAGACAAGTACTCGAGATGCTATGTGTGCAGCAGTACCAAGCACATGGCTAGACAATGTGAAGCAGCCCAAGGAGGAAAAGGAGACTCACCCACTACGCCTACGACAGGGAAGTTTGCTGGCAAGGGCAAGTCAAAGAGTAAAGGAAAGAGCAAGTCTCCGGAGAATACCACTCCTGAAGGCCAAGAAAAGGCAGCAGTGAAAACTCAACAGTTGGTTGAATCTTCAACCTCTCCAGATGGAACCACTTCGACGCCTACGACATCCACAGCAGCGCAAGCTTCAACATCGAGCTCGTATACGACCTCGACGGGAGGAGTCATGGAGGATGTCACAACGCTGTTGAAAAGTTTGAAAGTGACACAGGGTGGAGGACAAGAACCAGGACTTCGAGTCTGCCAAGTTCGAAAACTCCAGCCACATGAGGAGATGACAACCCTGTTGGACGGAGGTGCAACACACTGTCTTCGTCAAACTCGAGGTGGACATGAATGGCAACGAGCACAACCAGTAACAGTGAAGTTGGCAACAGGAGCAGTTCAGTTGAGACAATGCAAAGAGACAGGAACGTTGCTGACAATGGAGCCAGTGCAAGCCATCGTACCAGTGAGCAAGATGTTGCAAACAGGTTACAACATGATGTGGACCAAGGACGAGTGCGTGGTGGAAAATGCAGAACACCAACGACTACCAGTCACTATGGTTCAGGGATGTCCGACGGTGAACAAGGAATGTGGTGACATGCAAGGATATCTGCAATCTTGGGGAAGGAATTGGAACCCGAGACGGAATATGAGAAGAACGTTGCAGAAACACAGAAGATGTTTCCAGAAGTTCCAAGCTACTTGATTGAGAACGTGGCCTGTCATGGACAATGGAATGCAGATCGGTCGCCATGGAACAGAAGTAAACGAAGAGCAATCGAAAAGGCGAAGTTCGTTGTACTTCACCTGTACTCAGGCGACGATGACAAGATTTGGAAGCAACTGGAACGACAAAGCAACGGAGTAGAGGTGATCCAGGTGGAGCTCAAGAAGGGTGCAGACATGCGGAACAACGACCTTATGGCCTACCTGGAGGAGCTTGCAAGAGCAGGTCGCATCGACCAAGTGCTAGCAGGACCACCATGCAGGACAGTGAGCATGTGCAGGTTTAGAAGCGTGGCACAAGCAGACCGAGGACCTCGACCTCTACGAGGACGCTATGGACAGCTGAGGTTTGGATTGCCAGGCCTTACCCATGCAGAGCAGAACACGGTCGACAACGACACAGTTTTGTGGCTTCGGATGCTGGTTTTCCAACCTTTTTGCAATGGCCAGAGACACTACAGATGGTTGAAGACAACAACCTCACGACGGTCAAGGTGGATCAGGGAAGCTTGGGGCATCCTACAACTAAGCCGACAACTTTGCTCACCGACCTCGACGAGATAAAGGGGGTCGATGGATGGAAGATGCAAGGCCAACCTGAGAAGTGGCCGCAAGAACTTGAAAAAAGAATCCAGTTCTCCAAAGAACTTGCTACCTGGGCAACGGGACTCAAGGGACTTCTTAAAATGGCGATTCAGAGGTTGTCGCAGCAGGAGACCATGGTGAAGGCCCTGACCCTGAAGGAGCAGAAGGAGATCATGGAATGGAAGGAACATTTCTGTGCCGATCATCTACCCTTTCGCAAGGACTGTGAAGTATGCCTTCGTGCTGCAGGAGCAGATCGGTACAGGAAACAGCTTCAATGCCCAACATCTTTCTGTCTGTCACTGGACATCATGGGACCATTCGTCCAAGGGAAAGACCAGGAGTTGAAGGGACCAAGATATGGTCTTGTGGCGACGTACACGGTTCCAATCGACAAACATGGAGCCCCTCTACCACAAGGACTGGCGGGACTTCACTTGCCACACCAACAAGGACGTGATGTGGATGACGACTTCATGCATGAGGATCCGGAAGTGTTGCCACAAGATGCAGTGCTTGAACAACTTCCTGAAGTAGATGAAGAGCCCCAACAGGAGCTGACGGAGGCTGAGATCAAACAACAAGAAGTACGTGAACGTCGACGGAGGGACTTTTTGCAGGACAGAAAGTCTCAGGCTGTTAAGAACCTGACGTTCGCGGTGCCTCTCAAGTCACGCCACCACGATGACTTGCTCCAAGCGGTGGCGCAGATCTACGTGAAGACCAAGGCAATGGCACTCCCAGTTCAACGAGTCCATACAGACAGAGCTAAGGAGTTTGTGGGCAAGGGATTTCAAAAGTGGATCAGAGACCATGACTTGTTCCACACAATGAGTTCAGGAAGTGAACAAAACGCCAGAGTGGAAAGGGAGGTCAGAGAGCTGAAACAGAGGATGAGAACGGTGCTGACAGCCTCAAGGGCACCAACGCATTTTTGGCCTCTTGCACTCAGACATGTTGGCGAACAAAGACTACGGCGACAGCTACAAGCTTTGGGTGTCACAACACCAGAACTTTTGCCGTTTGGGATGAACGCAATGGTCAAACAGAAGTTGTGGCAAAAGCGAGATGACACGCTAAAGTACCCCATGCAGAAGGTTAGATTGTGGGGACCTGCAGCTGATATGGCAACTACGTCTCTTGGCTACTATGTTCAAAGCGATGAGACAGGCAAGTTCTTCCGATCGACAGTGGTCAAGGTCTTTGCCGATCAACCAACCCTACAAGCGGAACGTGGTGATGCACCACGGGGGGAGGAAGAAGGACTTGGAGACCAACATGACCCTGGAGATGAAGAAAATTGCAGACTGGATGATGATCAGCAAGGTCCACAACAACCTGGCGAAGCACACCAAGCTCAAGCAGCTGACGACCTTCAAGCTCGAGATCATGAAGTTCAAGGTATCTTTGACGATGAGATAGAAGAAGCCCCACAACAAGAACGTCGGAGGATCGACATGACCAAAGCCAAGAAGGGATTGTCATTCTATCCGCACTTGGAGATCAATGCAGTGTTGGAGGAATTGAGGAACCACCCGAACAAGCAAAGCGGTGGAGACTACATGGTAAAGGGCCTGAAGTGCGACCTCATCACCCCAGGATCTTCAAGATCGATGCAACCGGTGGAGATCAAGTTCGACTTCTTGGGGATGAAGAACATCGTCGAGCACAATGTGAAGAAGCAATTGAGCGTATGATGGTCAACCAGCACAAGGAGCTCACAAGATGGGTGCGTGATGTCATCGTTGGGATTGAGGATGAAACAGTATGTCCACAAGAAGTGGAGTTAGCGCTGAACCTCAAGGAAGAACTGAGCGCCAGGGAAGAGAACCTGGTTCAGTTGGCAACTATGAGGAAGTTGGAGGTGGAAGCTGAACAACAAGTTCTGCAGACACGACTGGTGGCAATGGATGAAGTTCGTCGGAATCTGGAAGAATGGAAACCTGTCTTTGCAGAGGAGGTCAACAACCTCAAGATGAAGGCAGTGGAAGCCATCAATGAGAACCAGTTCCAACAACTTCTTCAAGGAGAAAAAGAAGTGGAATGTCTGCCGATGAAGGCAATAGCCACACTAAAACCTCCTGCAAGAAAGAAGGGAAGAGTCGTGGCATGCGGAAATTATGCCATGGCCCGGGAAAACGAGGAGTTGGCCAACGCTGCAAGTGGATGCGACTCTTTGGCGATCAGACTATGGTAGCGAAGTCAGTGGAGAAGCAATGGACCATATAGGAGCCATTGATGTGAAGGCAGCATTCTTACAAGCTCCTCGAAGAACCCAGATGACCAGGGTGACAGTTGGAGAGCCACCTTCACTGCTCAAGGCCATGAACCTGGTGAAGCCTGATGAGAAATGGATCATCAAGCAAGCGCTATACGGACTCATCGAGTCGCCGGGAGATTGGGGACAACATAGAGACGAGCAGCTCCCACACCTACGATGGCGACATGCTGGACAGGAGTTCACCCTCAAGGAGACGAAGGAAAGGCATGTTTGGGCAGTGCGACGAGTTGGAGCACCAGAAACTGAGGATAACCACGGGTTTGTGCTGGTCTACGTCGACGACATGCTGCTCTTTGGGGACACCGAGCAGGTCAAAGCAACAGCAGCTGCAGTAAGGTCACTGTGGGAATGCTCACCCCTGGAACTCTTGGACGAGACGAAGGAGTTGCATTTTTGTGGCATGGAACTGAGAAGGTACAAAAGCGGTGTGTTCCTGAGTCAAACGGGCTACTTGGTAGAGATGCTGAAACGCTACGAGGTGCAAGGTGTGGAACCTTACCCATTGCCAAAGGTTGAGGATGGGGAGGACGAGGAACCATATCTCAAGGCGTTACGGCGTGCCCAGACTCTGGTGGGCGAACTACTGTGGGCAAGTACAAGGACAAGACCGGACATAGCTTTTGCAACAGGGCTACTTGATCGTCTTGCTCATCGGCGTCCCAACTACGTGAACACATTGGGAGAGCACCTTCTAAAGTACCTGCAAGGCACAACTGACTATGGATTGAACTATCAGCCTGGGGATGACACGGACTATGGAGATGGTCAGCTACCAGACCTGTGATGTATTGCCGACATTTCCTATGCTCCACCTCACGAACAATACAGGTCAATTCAAGGAGTTGCAGGACAATGGACGGGAAAGACGTTGCTATGGGATAGCTGCAGACAGGCTTTTGTAACACAGAGCACAGCTGAGAGTGAGTTGGTGGGCCACTCATCTGCACATCAAGCTGGTGAGGCGTTGAGTGCATTGATCGAGACGGTCAACAACAACCAATCCCTCCAGAAGTTGCTCTATGGTGACAACAAGGCAGCTCTTTCAGCAACGGGGTCAGAAACTGGACCATGGAGGACACGACACCTACGCATCAGAGCCCATGCGTTGAGAGAAGCAGTCAGGAGACTAGAATTGGGCTGGCAGGCACGACACATGCCAGAGGCAAAACTCTTGGCTGATGGACTCACAAAGGTTCTGATGGGTGCAGCTTTCAATGCGTTTAGACTGCGAGCAGGAGTCATCAAGAGGGAGACGTGTGACAACCTTCGGGACAAGGACAACGTGACAAAGAACAACAAGGTCACTGACGAGATCCACGCTTCACAGAATGACAAGGCCACTGAGGAGAAGCACATTCCAAAGAATGTCAAGGCTTCTGGCGGAGATCGCAATTCCAAAGAACCCCAACGTTCAGGACAAGTTTGAGGTGACAGTGAATAACGTGGCCAACCACCCTGCCAACTTCGAGGCTTTTGACTTTGACGAAACGGTCCAGATGGCCAAGACCTACCTCGATGGAGTTGTACCTCTTCAAGCACAAGCTGAAAGTCAGCTTGGGGGGAGTCAATGGAGTGATGAAGATTGGGAAACTCTCCAAAAGCTTGGACTATGTGGTGCACTTCTCCTACTGAGAGGCCGGGTGGAATCAGGGCTGTTACTGCTAATAGCAGTGGCCCTTGTGTCAAAAAAAAGATCCAGGGTGGGATCGCAAGAACAATCAAAAGCTGAAAGCAAACCAGATAACCAGAACAAGGCGGGATGGATGGAACAAGAGCCACTGGCCAACAAGACCTCAAAAGACTCCAAAAAGACCCAAAAGAAGAGAGTGGAGCAACCCCAAAGAAGGCTGAAGAGGCACAGCCACCCAAAAGGGATAGTGACCAAGGTCACCCAAGTAAATGTTTCAGGTTGGGGGGGAGTAGCTAATGTCCCTGGATGCACATCCACGGATCGGGCGCGACCAAGTGTGAGCAATGGCCAAAAGGTGCAATCAGCGCATGACAGCAGCGATGGTGAAAAGGTGCAATCAGCGCATGAGAGCAGCGATGGCGAAAAGGTGCAATCAGCGCATGAGAACAAGGTGCCAAGAATGATGGCACTACAAGCTCAACCAAAAGCACGCCCAACGAGACAGGCAAATGTGGCCCAGCCGAAGCAAAGGGCCGAAGCCTTTAGACAGGCGGTAGAAGCAGAGAGAAGAAGCGTCTTCCAAGCCGTCCAGAATGAAGGACAAGGCGCTTCAACCAGTAGCTCAGCGAGTGACCAACGACCGCAACAACAACAGCCTCAGGAAGCTCTACCACGAGAACCTACTGATGGAGAAGTTGATGGGGCTTTGAGGAGGATTGCGGAGAACTGGTTGTTCACTCGACCTCCACGAGTACAAGATGGATGGAACTTCATGGACGTGGTCAGACTATGTGGAAAAAGGTACCGGGTGGTGATGAGAAACCACCGCACGACAAGACGAAGAAGCTTTCACCCAGTTCACCGAGGAGCTCCAGGCAACTTGTTGGGGAGACGTCTGACGGTGATACATGGTGGTGGAGGACGAAGTGAAGTAGCAGACAACTGGTCCGAAACCTGGGAAACTTCAGGATGGACGGGCTACACGCTGTTCCTTCAGCGAATAGTTGAAGAACCACAACGACCTGGAAACCAGAGTCAAAACGGAGCACAGCAGGTTGCAGAGACACAGCTGGATGAGATAGAGGAAGATGACAGTTTTGAGTTGGTGGAAGATGTTGAAGGTTCAGGAGGTGGGTCAATGCAACATGAACGACATGAACCTGAACCACATGCTGGTGACCGCAGCTCTGGCCCGAGACTTCGAGCCCTATCGCTTCTGACGACCGGTGCGGGTGCCATGGGACCGTCGTTGACAACGGCATCGAAACGATTGGCCACGGAGGAGGAAGTGACGGGACTGAAGAAGAAGGTTTTGCAGTGGGATCCACAGCATGGAGCTGCAGATGGTGATGAACGAGAAGGACAAGAACCAGAAGGTGAAGGGTCACCACAGCAATGGACGCTGACCCCAATACCAGAAGAAGAAGGGTCATCACTGCCGTGGAGACTGACCCCAGTACCGGAACGTTCAAGGAGCCCTTCAACAACAAGACCACCACCAAAGGCAAGACCTACAACCAGAACAGGACAGTCGAGTAGTGCGAGGTCATCGACAGCGCAACCGAGCAGTGCGAGGTCATCGACAGCGGTAGAAGATGATGAGACCTCTGCTGTAGTGCCGGTGACAGAGAAAGGTCCGAACAAGGGACTGTCAAAGGGGAAGGGACGATGGTTCACCATACAGGAGGAGAGACATGGCCCGATGCATCGCCGCTGGATACCCTATGAGGATGAGTACACGGACAGCGATGCGGAGGCGATGCAACCGACTGGTGAACAACAGGAACAACATGAACAACCTGAAGAACCTGAGTCAGAACCACCGTGGAAGGCTCCAAGGATGGATGGCGCTCCATTGTCTACGACCCGGACCTACGCGTTGGATCCTGAGGACCCCAACATCGAGCAGATCATCGAGTCGTTGCCGGTGACAAGGGTGCTGCCACCTCCAGAACCGAGAACACGAATGGAGGCAGCTCAGATGGTCGTCACGATACCCAGGCCAGAAGGGTATCAGACTGACAGCGATGGAGAGGCGCCAGAACGCCTTGCACGAGCAGTACGAGATGACCCACAACATGGAGCCCCTCCTAGTGGATGGCAACAAGGACAACCACCTGTTCCAGGACAGCAACCAAGGTTCACGAGATGGGACCAAAGGGCACCGCTACCTCCACCACCACCACCACCAAAAGGCGGAGGAAAAGGCTACTATGGTGTTCCATTACAAGGAGGACCAGGATGGCGAGTACAACCACTTCCCATTGGGAATGCAGCTCATGGGATGGTGGGAAGACCCTATGTGCCGAACCAGATGAGCCACTTGCAGATGCTTCAGATCCAGATGGACAACGCGATGATGCATGGGGGACTGGAACACTCAGGCTCAACTACACCAAATGATGGGACCACATGCACGAGGACGGTTTCCCATCCTACTATGGCGACCTCGAACACCTGGAACGGGCATCCCAGGAGTTGACTACTCCTTGGAGCTCACTATGGCACAGCCGAGACTTACAGCGACTACGGAGGAGGCACAGCGGGAGAGGCCGAGCTCTTCAAGACCTATGCAGGAGCAACCGGAATCCTCGTCCACAACAGAGGCAACGTCGACAGAGACAGTGCCACCAAGACCAGAGCCTACTCCGTCCGCAGGCACACCAAGTTCAACAGGACCGACGACAGGTGGATCAAGAGGAGCCAACAACCCAAGTGCTGTAGCACCTGCAACGGGGATGAGCAGGTCACCAGGCCGAAGCATGCCGGGGACAAGCTCATCAACAGAGGGGACTATGGCGAAACAGAGCCTTACAGCGGAAACTACATCAAGGCCAAGCCCTACAGCGGGAACTATGCCAAAGCAGAGCACGTCTGCGGGTTCAAGGTCTACAACAACGGGGACCACAACAAGGACGACAGTGATGCGGCCGCTGGTGGTTGATCCCGACACTGGAGAAACCCCAGAGGAGCCTGCGTTGGCCGTGGCAACGCAACAGTTCCTTGAAGCTCTGGCGGCGGTGGATCGCCAGACAGATGCACGCCTAGAAGAACCAGGAGTTGAATCGGCGGCACGATACAACCCGCCGGAAAGAAGTGATGAGGGTTCGGGCCCCCATTCCTCGGACAATGACGAGGAGGCTCCCAGATTCAACGCCTTCGGGGGCGATCGCGATGGCTGGTAGATCACTACAACCTGGAAAAGGTCTACTGAGAGCCGGGGAAGCCTTGAGCTTAGGCTGGAATGGAAGGCCACCCTACTGCGTGTGCAAAGGGGCGCAGCAATTTTGGGGATGGCCACTGTAAACAACAAGTTTTGAGCGGAAGCTCGAAAGGGGGAGTGTGGAAGACATGCCTAACAACCACCTGGCACAGTACACACAGGACCTCCTTTTTGCAGGCTTTCTTTATGCCCAAGTAAAACAGTTGCTGCGCCGCTTCGCCTGGGATTCATCCTGTGAATCTACAATTAATGTTGGGATGGAAACGGCTTCATTAAAGGGAAGGTGGCGGAGTTCCCGCGTGGCAAAAATCTACTGGCCGATGGGTCCTCCCATTATTGATAAGGCCAAAACAATGCTTGAAAATGGGGCCCCATCAACCAGCTCTGACGTCTGGCAAGAGTTGGGGTCGTGGATAGGGCAGTTTGGCTCTCCTACCGACTCCTACCATGTTTTTCCCGAATGCGTAGCAAGGGTTCCCGTTTCACTCTGGGGGTCTGGGGGTTGAGGGTGTGTTCGCCCGACGTTGCCGAACCGTTCGCAACCGTCCGCAACCGTTCGCGTGAGGACCGTATGGCCGTGCCTGTAGGAAGTTCTGCAGAGGTGGTCCGTTTTGGACGTTTCCAACGTGTCGTTGCTTCGTTTCGCGTGGCAGGCGTGGCACTTTGTGACATTCAGACGTGTTTTGCAACGTGTCGAAAGTCGTTTTGCGTGGCAGGCGCAATACTTTTGCGACGTTTTTAGAAGATATGTTGCATTTTTCGTGGCAGGCGCAGCACTTTGGACGCGTCCATCGTCATTTTTCGTGGCAGGCGCAGCACTTTAGACGTGTCGTGTTGACAGTTTTTCGCAAATCGCATTGGCAGGGCTACGTCAAGTGGCGACAAGGTGCAAATTCCGTGGCAGGCGTGGCATTTTGTGACCTGTGTTGAAAATTGACGGAAGCCTCGCACGAAACATTGCTTTTGAGGTTGCAAGATGTTCCTAGGAAAACTCGTAGGAAAACGCCGATTTTCAAGCGACAAAGTGTGAAAATTGCAGGATGTCTCGCACGAAATGCTCGTTTTGGTGCTCCCACTCGAGTCTCTGGTTTTCCTGTGGCCTCGCCGTGTCTATGGGGGAAGCTGCAAAACACGTCCTTTCGGGATGTGTCAAATTGTGAAATTTGGCGGAGGTCTCGCACGAAATGCTCGTTTTGGTGCTCCCACGTGTCTCGTCTCGAGTCTCTGGTTTTCCTGTGGCCTCGCCGTGTCTATGGGGGAAGCTGCAAAACTTCTCCTTTTGGCATGTTTCCAAGCAGGTTGTCATGTCGTTTTGCGTGGCAGGCGTGGCACTTTGTGACATTCCAACCTGTTAGATAACGTGTCGAAAATGTCAAAATTGGCGGAAGTCTCGTACGAAATGCTCGTTTTTCTGCATCCACGTGTCTCGTCTCGGGTCGCTGGTTTTCCTGTGGCATCGCCGTGTCTATGGGGGAAGCTGCAAAACCTCTCCTTTTCGAAGGTTTCCAAGCATGTTGTCATGTCGTTTTGCGTGGCAGGCGTGGCACTTTGTGACATTCCAATCTGTTTGCTAACGTGTCGAGAATGTCAAAATTGCAGGAAGTCTCGTACGAAAAGTGTGTTTTGCTGCATCCATGTGTCTTGTCTCGAGTCTCTGGCTTTCCTGTGGCGTCGCCGTGTCCATGGGGGAAGCTCCACGCTCCACGCTTTACACTTCACACTCCACACGTTGCAATCCACACTCTACACTTTACACTCTACACTTTACACTCCACACTCCTCACTTTACACTCCACACTTTACACTCCACACTCCTCACTTTACACTCCACACTCTACACTCCACACTCCACACTTTGCACGCCACACTCCACACTTTACACTTTACACTCCTCACTCCACACTTTACACTCCACACTCCTCACTTTACACTCCACACTCCTCACTTTACACTCCACACTTTACACTCTACACTTTACACTCTACACGCCACACGCCACACTCAACACTTTACACTCTACACTCCACACTTTACATTTTACATTCCACACTCTACACTCCACAAACTACACTTTCCACTCTACACTTTACACTCCACACTCCACACTCCACACTTTACACTCCACACTTTACACTCCACACTCCTCACTTTACACTCCACACTCCACACTCTACACTCCACACTCCTCACTTTACACTCCACACTTTACACTTTACACTCCTCACTCCACACTTTACACTCCACACTCCTCACTTTACACTCCACACTCTACACTCCACACTCCACACTCTACACTTTGCACTCGACACTCTACACTTTACACTTTATACTCCTCACTCCACACTCCGCACTCTACACTGCACACTCCTCACTTTACACTCCACACTCAACACTCTACACTCCACACTCTACACTTTGCACTCGACACTCTACACTTTACACTTTACACTCCTCACTCCACACTCTACACTCCACACTCCTCACTTTACACTCCACACTCCGCACTCCACACTCCACACTCCGCACTCTACGCTCCACACTTGACACTCCACACTCCACACTTTACACTCCACACTCCACACTTTACACTTTACACTCCTCACTCCACACTCCACACTTTACACTCCACACTTTACACTCCACACTTTACACTCCACACTTTACACTCCTCACTCCACACTCGATCCTCACTTTACACTCCACACTTTACACTCCACACTCCTCACTTTACACTCCACACTCCGCACTCCACACTCCACACTCCGCACTCTATGCTCCACACTTGACACTCCACACTCCACACTTTACACTCCACACTCCACACTTTACACTCCTCACTCCACACTCCACACTTTACACTCCACACTTTACACTCCACACTTTACACTCCACACTTTACACTTTACACTCCTCACTCCACACTCCTCACTTTACACTCCACACTTTACACTCCACACTCCTCACTTTACACTCCACACTACACTCCACACTCCACACTCTACATTTTGCACTCTACACTCCACACTCCACACTCTACACTTTGCACTCCACACTCTACACTTTACACTTCACACTCCTCACTCCACACTCCACACTTTACACTCCACACTTTACACTCCACACTTTACACTCCACACTTTACACTTTACACTTTACACTCCCCACTCCACACTCTACACTCCACACTCCTCACTTTACACTCCACACTTTACACTCCACACTCTACACTCCACACTTTACACTCCTCACTTTACACTCCACACTTTACACTCCTCACTTTACACTCCACACTCCACACTTCCCACTCCATACTCCACACTCCACACTCTACACCCCTCACTCCACACTCGACACTCTACACTTTACACTCCACACTGCAGACTGGTAACAGGGGAAATATGTGCAAGACTGTTCAAATAAACTATTGCAGAAAAGCGTTGTGCGTGACTGCATATCCATGTGCTTTGACATCTGTACCATTAACATACGTGTGAGCATTCGGGTTCGTGGGCTGCATCCTGTTTTTTCTCCTGCCATGGAGACAGCTGAAAAAATCCTACCATGGATCAATAGCATGAAAGAATAGAACCATGAAGCTGGCCTTTTCTACTAGAATGGCGTTGAAATCTATCTTTGTGTGGGGTCCTTGTCTTTGTTGTGCGCTCCCGTCTGCTCCTTCCCGTCCCTGCGCCCAACACAACTTTTCCACACACAACTCTTTCTTGTGTGTGTGTGAAACATCTGAACAGATGTAAAACTTCTACCTGTTTGTCATTTGGAATAATGGCAGGGGGCCCATCCATGTACTGTGAGCGATGGTCCAGCGAAGCTGATGCCGAGGATCTTGCTATTCCCGACTTCCGGACCTCTGACAATGAGGTCGTTGAATGCCGTGACGCTGGCAAGGATCAAAAAGACCTCCATGTGCAGCTGAACTGCCTCGCGATTACAAATGGGATGTGTTTTCACCTTTCTGCCTTGCATGAGAAACGCAATCTCCTTCGCACATTCATTGACACAATGTGCAATCGCTTGGCTATGATCTACGTAACCAACAATGGTCCCCGCGTGCAGATCAAAGCAGACCGGACCCTGGTGGAGAACATCGTCTCCTGCTTTGCGCAGGCCGACATGTTGTACTTGACACTAGCTGAACGGACCATGGGCTACTACGTGGAACAGAACCAACAGTTGACGATTCTCACCCCAACTGGATTTCAGGAGAAGCCACCTTTCAATGATGACTCGACACTTTCCTTAGCTGTCTCTCCACACCAGTGAGTGATGGCTGGGTCTAAGCCAAGTACCCCCTCGAACAATCGTGATTTTCCAATTTTAAGCGTGATGTCACTTCGACCTTACTGTTGGTTTTACCACTCACTCTTGCTGCTTGCTACGGTTCCAGTGGTTCCAGCTTGCTCAGCCCTCTTGTCGATATCGATCCTTCCGTGACTTTTACGCTCATGACTCATGACTACTCAAGACGACATTTCGCAGTTCAGCCTACTCAACCTGATCGAGACTCCTCACGGACTCCACAACGTGATCTCCATTCATGGATGCCGTCTAGTATACGCCGACGTTCCGAGGACCCATCCATCGATGCCACACACGCTTGGAATCGACCCTCGCGGCCAAGTCCACCAGGTTGCCATCCAGTGTCACAACTCGGGCTCTTTTCAAGCTCACTCACGACCGACGCTACCTACCCAACCTACGGCGCCTTTTCCACCGACACCACCTTCCATTCCGCCTCCTCCACCGGTATGCTCCCCACCGGTTCGGCACCACTACACCAAAATCACCGGCCAGTTCCCCGCCATTGTACTCCCTTGTCACCAAAGGCTACACCATCCGACAGTGTGTGATACCACCCATGGACATGTGGAAACCGGACGTGCTTTCATGACACATCCAAAGTCAAAGGGTTTGGACCTCCCAATGACGATCCGATCGAGCAAG